GAAGAGGACGGGGGGGGGGGGGGGGGGGGAGGTGGTGTTTAAAAACCTTTCACTGTTATCCTGGTCTCTCGGGTCATGAGAATATTTTGTCTTACACTACGGTATTCTGCAATGTCGAGCATTTTTAACCGAAAAACATGCTCCATAGAGTCTTAAGACAAAAAATTGTTTGATTTGCTCTATTTTGATTTAGCTTATTCTTTTTGATAGCAATGCAGTCGACACCATATCTCCTTTTTTGTCTAATGCGAGTGTCCACACGTATAAAGTCACTTTAAATTATTATTTCACTTTATTTTACCATTTGCACAATCAATAATTACAATTAGCTCAATGCAAAACTCTAAAAAATAATTTTTAAGTATGGTACTAAAAACTTATTTTCCTACATAGTGATGCTCCCATCTAGCAAATTTTAATCCAAATTCGAGTCTATTTAACTAGACATGAATTAATATTTTAATCTATTTACCCAAATCCGATTAAATTTCTTTAAACAGATTTGAATTTAGATACATGTAAATTTAATCTGATAAAAATTCGATTTGGTATATACATTTTTTTTGAGGGGGGGGGGAGAGAGGGAAGAGGGGACTTGAACTTTTAACTTCAAGAAAATAATGTCTTCAAAAAGTAAAGAAAACCAATATACCAAAGGCCCCCATTGATCGATCTGATATATACATATTTAATTAGATTATAAATGAGATTGACATAAAATCAAATACAAATTATTGAATAGAATGATTGGTTGATTAAATTAAGTTGAAAATAAACTTAAAGTTGATAAAATTATTTTTTTTTATAAAATTTTGTTGCAATTCAAATTTTCAGATAAGATAGGATAATCGTATCGAATATCCAATTATTAACGGATACGGATATACATTAAGATTTTAAAATCCGTCAAATAAATGAATTTGATTCGAAACTCAAATTTTTTATTGGATTCGGATTTGAACATATCAAGATCCGATCATTTGACGACCCTTGCTGCTATCCTTTTACTCAATAATTGTGGTTGGTTTTTGCATGGATTAGTGATTACTTAGTCCACATGTCATTTTGTTGGCATAGCTGCACAAACATTCCATTTTTCCAAGAGTTACACCAAACACAAGTGTCCATTTAAGTGTCTCATAGAATTAAATTGTTACAACATTTTCCTAAGAACAACAAAATATTGCAAATTCTACATACTAAAAAGAGACATGTAATTTCCCATTTTAGACCCTAAATTGCTGGATCTAATTTGGCAAACTAATTTCGTCAAGATCATCCAGTGACAAGAAAACTTCATCCAAGCATGAAAGCTCCGGTCCATCGTCGTTATCGTCACAATCATGCTTGTATACTCGACATATTACCCATTTCCTATAATCCTGAAAAAACACACGAGCAATATTATAAAAACATCACGTTATTGTCATTTTTAAAAAATACGTGCACGATTAAAACGATTCTCCGCTATTAGCGAGAAAATTCAAATTAAACAACACCCAATGCCTTTGTAAACTTCTTTGGCTCAAAGTTTCACAAATGATTATGTGTGTATGAGAGAGAGAGAATATATGTATATGTATAAATACTTACTATCTTGGAATGTCCTCGTCTTTTGGATGATTTGCTACTTGAACCAGTATCAGAAAGCCTGAACTCCTGCATTATCCAATTTGTTTTGGTATCCTCCGGAGGTTCATCAATGTGAAATGCATAGTATTTCTTCATACCAACTTTTTGACCTCCACTGCTGAAAATTGGCTCCTCCACACCTACCATCTTCCAGTAACCGTTTTCTGTAATCCGGTTTTCCGCTCTCCGGCTATAAAAATACCACGTATTACCCTCCCCCATAGCTTTTCCTACGCGGAAAATATATATATAAACTCAATTCAACTCAACTCAACAAAATTTTTATCCCCACTATTAATGAAACGATGGCGACTATTGATGAAAACTATAAAGAGTTGAGGGGATAAATCGAGTTACTTACCATCTAAGTCCCACGGATCGTATGGATAGAGATCAAGATCAGGGATAACGTCGGGGTGGCAAGGTAAGAGGGCGGCTTTGCGGTGGAGGAAGTGGACTACAAGCTCTTCGTCGGTGGGATGGAATCGGAAACCAGGAGGGAGGTTGAAACTGTTATGATGATCACCCATGAATATATAACTACTTAAGAAGAAGAATAATAAAGTGTAGTGAAATGAAAGGATAAATGGTGGTAGTGGTGAAGATTTTTGGTTGTGGGGGTGGTGATATTTATAGAGGGTGAGAATGGGGGAAGAGAGAGAAAGAGACTTGAGATAGAAGGCTTGTCTTGATCAACATTCAGCTGGGAATTGGATTTTTAACTAGTGTTGGTGGTGCTCCAAGGTGGCGGGTAACAGAACCTTACATACATACTTCCAAGTGGCGGGACTTGCAAGTGTTGGAGGGAAGTAGCTGGGAAACTCATGGGATATTGCTAGTATACGTGAGTCTCTATATATATACACACACACACATGTATATTAGCAATAATCTTTTGTCGCACATATATACTAGTAATAATTTTGTGTCTAAACACACTTTACAATACAAAAGATCAAATGTATAATATTTATATTTAAACAGAGAAAAAATAAGAGAAAGGTAGGGGAGGAGAAAGGTATACGAGGATTAATGGAATTGTTTAGTATGAGAAAGAGTGTGTTAGTTGAGCTGTTTGACATTAGAGATTGAGCAGAGAAAATAATATTTTTGAGCGATTTTTTTTAAAAAAATAAATTTTGTCCCATTGGATCAAAATATGTGAAAATTGGATCAATCTTGATCATTAATTATAATTTTACAAGTTGAGAATTTAATTTGATATTATATTTATATATTTGTGTGTGTGTAATGTGTATGTATTATGTATGGTAATATGGGACATCATACATGGTAAACCTCTCCCATACCCCCACCCACACTCCCACTCCCACTCCCACTCCCACTCAACCCCCTCCAAAAAACAGAAAAAGGGAAGGAAGAGAAAAAATGTGGGTCATCATCACACTTCATGCTTATATCATCCTCCTTATGGCGTATCTACTTGTCATGGAGTTCAGTGGATCAGTTTATGGACCATTTTGCCCACGTGCTTATAAATTATAATTGTCATAATTCTTTTTTCATCTAAATAATTGGCATAATTAAATTGTTAATGCAATTGGGCTATTTTTGTTTGTATTTTTTATATTCATTTCTCTTTAGGAGGTTTTTTTATTGATTTGTTTTGTTACACTATATTGATAACTATTTAGCTTAGGTATTCAAGGATCTTAAAGTAGAAATAATACACTTATTTATATGTATGTGTATTAAAATGTACATATGACTTTAGTTTAGAAAGAATTAGCAAAATCAACTAAAAAAATTAAAAATAGAAAATAAAAGCTACTTTCAATGGTACTTAAAAAACATAGGAAACAAACAAATTTAAAAGACCATTATCAAACAACACTTAAACTTTCAAGGAGTAAATAATGCTATTTGAACTTAAAAATTTGACATAATTTGTTAATCTAATAATGTGACTTTATTAGAACATTGGATAAAAATCAAGTTATAATGATTGATGGATTCCACGGTAAATCCAAAGCCCATAGTAGCATTAGTCCCCCCACAATACTTTTTCTTTTTTTTTTGAATTTTAAGACTTAAATATGGTTTTTATCTTAACTTTTAGTTCTCTTTCACATGAGCCACTCATTTTAGATCATGGTNTATGCGCACTGATTCTGATGAAAAATGTCTTCTCTTCTTAACTGTTCGGGGTCCTGAGCAATAAATGCCGCGTCATCGGGATGCCGACGGTACAATGAACTCCTCTCGGGGAGGATGCAATAAATGCTCTGTATTAGGAACATTTATTGCCTTTCATTTCCGAGCCTTACCGCATTGAATGCAGTCTCGTCAAGAGAATGGTGTAATTAATCGTTTGTTTTCCCAATTCGCGTGTCAGCAATGGCATGCGGTTTTTCTGTCTTTGATGTGACATCATATGCCACGCATCCATCCCCCATTGGCTGTGGCCCCTGCATTCCNTGCAGTCTCGTCAAGGGAATGGTGTAATTAATCGTTTGTTTTCCCAATTCGCGTGTCAGCAATGACATGCGGTTTTTCTGTCTTTGATGTGACATCATATGCCACGCATCCATCCCCCATTGGCTGTGGCCCCTGCATTCCTGTACGTTCTGACACTAATTATGTAAGACGAGGTCATGATGAATAGACTAGGCTAATGACCTGTACGTCAATAGCTTATCCTGGAGTAGAGGAAGCGTCCAGGACGGGGTACTTCTCGGCACCGAGGAAAGGCTCATCTCGGGAACCGAGGGAGGTATGCCGACCGAGGTACATATTAGACCGAGGCCACGTGTCGGTTGTAAAATATACTGAATGTATGANTTAAACGTACTGAATGCCATAATCCCATATGACGAGTACCTCGGGAGCGAGGGACCTTTGTGAGCCAATGAGACTTGATCTTAACAACAGTGTTTTGGTAATACCGAGAACACGTGTTTTCATCATGGAGTATTTCAGAAAAGTCCCATCAACAATCCTTACGAAGTTTAAGATTTAGGTTCAATTCTCTAGTGGTGCTTCATTCCACAAAAAAAAAAAAAGAGCAATCTTTGCCCATGCCAAACATTTGGGCAATTATGATTGGCACCTTGTGCTGAAATTTTTGTGCAATCAAAGCATGTAGGAATAGCATGCATATTATCCCATTGTGGGGGGTTTATAATGTGAAAAAAGACTAGAAAGTAGAAACAAGGACAGTGACCTCAGCTACAGGTGGGTTGGAGGACATGGAAAGGCCTTTGAAGATGCTTCTCCTCATTCACGGTCACTTCAGAACACCTACACTCTAATGCCATTGCCACCACCTACACTAAAATGGTATACAGGTGGGTTACAGGACATGGAAAGAGCCTGAAAGATGCTTCTTCTCATTAATGGTCACGTCTAGAACATCTATACTCAATGCCCTGCCACCATTAACATTAAAGATATAAGGAATAACTCCTTTCTGGCATGTGTCTATGTCATAGCAATGTCAGTTGCATTTACTAATCTTTATGAGGACGGGTCTCTATGTAGCAATAAAGTTGTTTCATTGTTATTCGGATATCATAAATTTTACTCACAGAAATATCTTTTTGTATGCAAGAATAAGATTATATACATCTGATCATTCTAATTAGAGTCATCACTCGAGGTACTTCTGCTCTCCAACTGAGCAAAAATAGAGCAAATTTGGTTGAGGACCGGAGAAAAGAAAAGGGAATGTTTTGCTTAGACTCAAGTCCCCTTGTCGAAGCTCACTGAAATGGAGGTCAAGGACTAGAATTGATTGCAACTTCACTAACTGAATGAACTAGTGATTTTACCTTTGTAGACTTCCGATACTAACTGTAGATGCAGTAGTGAGACTCTCGTGCACTAGACTACCAACGCACCTTAAATTTGATCGATAGCCATAATCCTATCATGGGGTATACTTCAATTATTCCAATCTTGGAAGTAGTATTCCAATTACACTAACTATCTTAATCAAAAGATTCGAAACAGTGAGAAATTGAAGTGTAAAGTAGGATCGAAAGCCCCAACTACCAACCTAATTTGAGTGAATCCTATGTGTTGACCTTAGCACAACTTGTACGTCTAGCATGTCAAAGTAATGTTAATGATTTTGCTTTAAGAATCAGCTTTTCCTAAATACAAAAAAGTTGTCAAAAATTAAAGTCGATATCAACCAACCATTGTCCTACAATGTTTTCATGTTTTAATAATTCAAAACATGAAACTGTTTCTTTTATTAACAAAAGACTTGATAATTGTGTGCCAGTTATGGTGGGTCAACTATCTAGTAATCAGCTACCACTTGAGCTAATTCTTTGAGATTTTTTTAAATTGATCAAGAGTTCGATATTCCACAGGTCCTGCAAATATGCTCTTTTGGGGCAACTTCTCCTAGATTTAACTCTTGCATATGGAGAGGAGGTTTTGTGCGTGGGTTTAAGTTAATTATCGACCATCGGTCTAAATAGACTCGATTGGTGAGAGTTCCTGAGTTATATATATAAAAAAAAAAAACTTTTAAGACCACAGGGGCTTGGAGAGATGACATCTAGATATTACTTATCCATCATGATATCAAATAATGATGAACAAGTTGAATATTAAGGTTTATCCTAATGGGCTATATGAGTCGTAACCAAATTGAACTGAATTGTGTAGTAGTGTAAGTGCGATGAGTGCAAACCCATCAAGGCAGTTCGGATAGAAAGACTTTAGAGCGAAAATTTATGACGTTCAAAAATTATAGATCCAATGTCACATTCAGTAAAAATTTATGATACATGTATAGGGTGTACTCAATGTGTCCGCGCCTGCCCCACCGATGTATTAGAAATGATACCTTGGGACGGCTGTAAAGCTAAACAAATTGCTTCCGCTCCAAGAACAGAGGACTGTGTCGGTTGACAGCTTCTAGCATAAAGGCATTCGAGCCGCGTCTAAACTAAATGAAGGGTAAGGGCCCGTACTCTCTCAAACCTCGCCCAAACAAAGCAAAGCCCCCACTCTTGGTTATTCGACCAGGTATGCTGCCCTCATAACCGCAGTCAATGATGCCACAATCATTAATCATTGCATTGAATTCTTCTAAAGATACAAGATTTGGAGGTCTGCCACCAAGTTTTTCAGACACATATGAAGTTGCGAACAAATTACCCGCAACCATCCATGGACCTTGTATTCTTAGGACAGCAATTGAAGTTTTTCCCAAAGAAGCCGTTGAATGGAGCACTTTGCATAAATAACGGTAAGTATTAGTGTACTAAGAAGAGCTGTCAATCATGTCATGTGAGATAAGTTCGTGCCGGATTTTAATAAATTTGTATCAAAAAATATTTCACTTATATTCGATTCGTTTATTAATCCATGTCTAACGAATCGTGTTATATTAAGATTGTGTCGTGTATATACGGTGTATAATTGGTATATAAACTTGTCGTGTCGTGTATTTCTTCTGATTGACTTCACTTATATTCAATTCGTTTATTATTCGTACCGTGCCGAGTCCACTTGTTTACTAAACAAGTGGTTTAATGATAACCTAAATTCT